ATATATATATATATATATATATATATATATATTAGTTATAGTTTTTCAGTATAAATTGGTGAAAACAGAGTCCAGCCGTCACAGTAGTTCACAGTGTGGTACCAAGTTAATGGCCCAAGTTGATGAATGGGTGTTAATGTAATTTATTCTGTTCATTTTTTGTGATACACTCTTTATCCATTCTTAGAGATCAGCATTGTGATTTTAGAGGCTGAATTTGACTTATTTCTTGATCCTTTATCTCAGTTGAGCAAGCTGAGGAAATCTCTAAGCAGCCTGCAGGCGGAACACCAGAATGCCCTGGAGAGAGCTGCTGTTGCTGCTGCACAAGAGCAGCAGGCCATCCTGGACAGTCAGGAGCAGGCTAAGATGGCAGCTGAGGCGCAGGATAAGTATGAGAGGGAGATGTTGCTGCATGTGGCCGATGTGGAAGCACTGCAGGCTGCCAAAGCACAGGCTCTGCAGGCAGCTCATCTCAGACAGCAGCTGGAGGAGAAAGTTCAGAGCACCAGTGCACAGCTGCTAGAGGCTCGTGTCTCTTGGGAGGAGCAAGAGAAGATAATCAAGGTAAAGAATTTGCCAAACAAATGGCTGTTATGGAAGTAAGTGATAGCATTTTCACAGTCGTTTTGTTTTTCTCTCCACATCAGGAGGAGCAGTCTAAGTTAGAGTCTCGCTGTGAAGATCTGCAGAGGCAGAACACACTCCTTCACGAGCAGATACAGACTCTGAGTGGACAAATGGCCAGTCAGCTGCAGCGAGCCACCAGTGAGAGTCCTCTCAACGTCTCTCTGACAGAGGAGGGCAAGTCTCAGGAGCAGCTCATAGAGATCCTAAGGTCTTTTGTTGTCTCCCAGTTGTTATGAATTTCAGTGACTTTTAATTTTGCAGAGAGAAAGTGATAAAAACAGATGGCGAAAAGGAGAAATGAAAAGAAATTTAGATTATTCTCTAGTTTCCTTATTCACGGCAGTCTCTCATTCCTACGTGGTTTGCAGGTTTGTGCGACGGGAGAAGGAGATCGCAGAGTCTCGGTTTGAGGTGGTCCAGGGTGAGAGTCTGAGGCACAGGCTAAGAGTGGAACATCTGGAGAGAGAGCTGAAGGATGTGCAAGAGAGTCTAAATGCGGAGAGAGAGAGGATGCAGGTTGATTTGGAGAAACCAGATTCATACAATTTTATTCCTGATCAACTGTATTAGTTAACTGCCTTAGTTACCAGCCCTGTATTTTCCTTTTGCTTTTGTTTAACTATTGTCTAAAGGTGACTGCAAAGACTCTGACCCAGCATGATGAGCTGATGAAGAAGACAGAAACCATGAATGTGCTAATGGAGACCAATAAGATGCTGAGGGAGGAGAAAGAGAAACTGGAACAGGAGCTGCAGGATACTCAAGCCAAGGCAAGCCATCCCTATTAAAAAGTATAGTCAACAATTACATATGCTAGTTGAAATACTGCTTTAAAAATAAATAAATAAATAATACCTGATTGTGTATTATTAAGAGAAGTTTTATAGATTTTATTATAAAAACAAAATGTTAATTCATATTTTAATTTATTTTACTCTTTTTAAATGTTAAAAAACATTTAAATTTGTTTTATTTTATTGTTCTTTAAGACTTTAATTATATATTAAATATTTTTGCATGCATGTATCTTTACATATGAAAAATTTATATACACTTTAAATTGAATAAAAAGTCACATGTATTTGCTTAAAGGGGATAATAATGTCATAATAATGTTTTGTTTCACAGGTGCGTAAACTGGAGTCAGACATCTTGCCCATGCAGGAGTCCAATGCAGAGCTGAGTGAGAAGAGTGGTATGCTACAGGCAGAGAAGAAGCTTCTGGAAGAAGATATCAAACGCTGGAAAGCTCGCACTCAGGTCAGTTTGTGTGTGTTTTGAGATGTTACCTTCAAAAACTGTATTTGTCATTGGTGAAAATTACTTGTTCCTCATCATACTTTCTTATGGGGTTTAGCACCTGGTGAGCCAGCAGAAGGACACTGACCCAGAGGAGTACAAGCGCCTGCACTCTGAGAGGGAAGCGCATCTCAAACGCATCCAGCAGCTTGTCGAGGATACCAGTCGGCTCAAAGCTGATGTTGCCAGGTTAAAGAAGCTTTCTACCTTCATTGTGCATGCACAAGTTTCACAGGCTAAAAAGGCTTTTCATTCTTTTCTTGGCTATAAAATATGAAAGCATGTCGCTTTTTCTTGCTCTCTACAGGAGCAGTGGCTCTTTGACTATGCTGCAATCCCAGGTGCAGAACCTAAGGGAGAACTTGGGGAAGGTGATGGTGGAGAGGGACAGCCTGAAGAAAGACCAGGAGGCCAAAAATCTGGACATCCAGGAGAAACTGAAAACCATCACACAAGTTAAAAAGATTGGTCGACGTTACAAAACCCAGTACGAGGAACTCAAGGTGGAATATGACAAGGTGTGTCAGGGTTTATGATTAAGAAAGTGGTTTGAATTTGCAAATGTGTGTTTGGAGTGGAGGTCTGATTTAAATGGGTTTTTGTGCAGTTGGTAGCTGCAGCGGCATCTGCACCAGCCCAGGATCAAGAGGCACAGCAGGCATCAGCTCAAGAACTTCAGGCCGTCAAGGAGTCCCTCAACCAATCAGAGAACAGGACAAGAGAACTGGAAGACCATCTGGAGAATCTCAGTAGAGTAAGTACACTGCCTGTTTTTTTTTTTTCCCCCCTTTTTCTTTTACACTTAAATTTATTGATTAAAACATTTCATATTATTTATTTGAACATGTTTGAATTGATTTTTTTTTTTTTTCCATTTTTATGTAAATTTCCATCTTTTCTCTGACTTTGTTGACTTCTCTGAGCAAAATATAATGTGGCTCCCCTGTCCATCAACAGGCTCTTTGCAGATTCTGCCTTACATAGTGATAGGATCACAAAACAATCTGCACTGAAATGTGCTGCACAACCTTTTAAGATCAAACTGAAATGATTGGGTACCTTTTTGAAATATGAAACTCATGGTGTGAGATTCCTTTTGTCATTTGCAGACTGTAGGTGAGCGGGAAGCAGAGGCACGCAGTGCACAGGAACAGGCCACTCGTCTACAGGCAGAGCTAACACGACTCAGGCAGGAGCTTCAAGAGAAATCATCTCAGGAGGAGCGACTCAAACAGCAGCTGACTGAAAAGGAGGAGAGGACCAAGAAGGCTATAGTAATGGCCAAGCAGAAGATCAGCCAGCTTACTGGTAAGAATTTACCCTGTTTTAAAATGAATAGTCTTTCTCTTCTAGTTAGTTTGACCCTGAGGTTTGTGGTCCATGTCAGATCTTTCCTTTTGATGTTTGACACTTTGACCTCTACTTCCAGGTGTAAAAGGTCAGCTCCAGAAAGAAAATGAGGAGCTGAAGCAACAAAAAGAGGAAATGGAAGTGCGAGTGAGTGCACTAAAGTCACAGTATGAGGGGCGTCTGAGCAGACAGGAAAGGGAGCTGCGAGACCTCCGCGAGCAGCAGGAGAGACATGGAGAACAGAGAGATGAACCTCCAGAACAGGGCTCCAGCAAGGTAACGCCACCATAGTTGTGCAATTGCAAACCTGTAACTAAACAAGTTTAAACGTTTAAGTTCTTATCTATTTTTTCTTCTGTCTTCAGACCCAGGAACCGCAAAGGACAACAGAACAGCGACAGATCTCCCTGAAGTCCACACCAGTGGCAGAAAGAGGAAGGTACAGTATTTTTAAGGGGGCGGTACACATTCAGCTACACAGTTAACTCATGATCATTGTCATATTTAAAAAAATGGCAAGCATCTCTACAAGTCAAGCCTTTCTACATTGTTGCTTTTATAGTGCAAGCTCTTCAGAACCTCCAACTGCTAACATAAAGCCCACGCCACTGGCAGCAACCCCCAGCAAGCCTCCAGCCATTCCAGGAAACAAATCCACCCCAAGGGCCAGCATCAAACCCATGATCACTCCTGCCCCAGTGCCCACCCCTACACCCACTGCCACAGTCATGCCCACCACGCAGGTGGAGAGCCAAGAGCGTAAGTGTTGGACTGTGTTTTTGGCCAGGGTTATTATCAATAGCTAATACGGAAACCATAAACATTTATAAATGAAATAAACTGAAAGAAAATATTTTGAAAAATGTAACTCATTTTTGTTTAAAGTACTAAAATAAACAAACTTAATGAAAATTATATAGACATTACAAAAACTAATAATAAAGACAAAGGACAAAAAATTACTAAAACTTTGCAATTAAAAAGAAAATAGAAAATAGAAATAATCTTATTCAAAATATTACCACCTACAATAATATATCAATGTGATACTAAAATTATAAATATAGTGCTAATTATAGTATTTATTAAATCTTTCCTCGCCAGCGTTTTAAAAAAAAAAAGTTGCCAGCCACTGCCAGCATTTTTGATCATTAGCACAAAAGTTTAATGGCACCCAGAATATTTTTTGTATGAATATCTAAGCATGTAATGTCAAAACAAAGAACCGAGCCTCTGCTTTTAAACAAAATAAAACCCATTTTAGTCTGGCTTCATGCAATCTTTTTTAATCAACACTTGAATGTGGGTAAGATCACTTCCATCAACACATCTAAAGCTTGCATGGTCCTATACCACTTCCAGGATCGTCATTTAATTTGGTAACGTTTGACAGTTTTGATTTATATGCTGTTTAATGCTTGATGATCACATTATATTACATATGCATCTGCTTCACATATGCGATTGTTTTTTTTTTCTGCTTTGTCGTGTTTTGATCCAGACGTTCAATACTCTTTCAGAAGATGAGTAATAGCACCTCCTACCGTACACCAGTGAAAACACGGAAAGCTGGATAATTCTATCAATGGCGGGGAAAGAGTTAATATTTTTAATTAGATTTTTCACATTTTTCAGTTTTCCATTTGACTTCAATCATTTTTCTTTTTATGTGCTTTTCATCTTTTTCAGCTTTTGATTTTTTTTTTTTATATTTTAAAGTGTTTGACTATTTAGCTTTTATTTTTATTATAGTTTTAGTTTAGTTTTCATATAATTTAGTAACTTAACCTTTTCTGTTAGTTACCAAGAAAACATTTCTAAATTTAACATTTTATTTTGGTTTTATTTTATTAAACAAAACAATTTTAATAATTTTACTTAACAACACTGATGTGCAAACAAATTACTTTTCTTTCCCCCTTGACCTTGCAGCCATGCAGTCGTCCGAGGGCCCACTTGAGCATGTGACTGTGTATGGAAGTGCCAGCGGTTCAGTGCGGTCCACCAGCCCTAATGTTCAGACCACCCTTGCTCAACCTCTGCTGAACGTTCAACAGCAGAGCCAGGCCACTGCATTCATACAGCCCACCCAGCAACAGACCCAGCCCCCTGCTGAACCATCCAATCAGGAACCTCCAGCTGCTGTAATGTTCCCAAACCCACAGTTAGACAGGCCTCTTTCTACATCTACGGGGATGTGGAGTGCCACCGCTAGCACAAGCAGTGCCAGTGCAGGTAATGTCAATTCTAAACTCAACTAGATTACCTGAACAGTTTTGTTACAGCATCTCACTCTACACATGATCTCTTTTGTGTCCTCCTGTAGTGTCCGCATCTCCTAGTAGTGCCTTGAGCAAACGCCCCCGTGAAGAGGAACAAGAGAGCATGTCTGCTGACACACAGTCCCAGGATGAGCCCAATGACACACCCATTTGCAAGAGGGTTTGCATTCATAGAGTAGGTCTGGAGGTAAGGTTCATAACTGAAGCATATTATTTTAAGTCAGGGTGACATAATTTTATTTTTTTGCTGTAAATAAGTAATTAAATCTGTGTGCAATGTAAAACAACAAAATTATACATTGCAGGAAGAGATGTTGGCTGAAGACAGCACTGAGGCTGAGAGTGTTGTACCGGGTGATAGCCAGGAGGCTCCTGATGCTCGACAGGTAATGGCAAGGGGATGTGTCGAAACGTCCTGTTTGTATTCAGACAGCATAAGTGTGAAACTGATAGAAATGGGTGTTTTATATCCATGTCTGTGTGAAGGAGTTGGAGTGCTACTCTACTTTGGAGGAGATGGATGAGGCACCAGGACCATCTCAGTCTGTCCCTGGAGGTCGACTTCTGCCCCATCCCTCTGAGACCCATCGAAGCCTGGAGGAGCCTGATCATCATGTCATAGTCATTGTTAGTGACACAGATAGTGAGGGAGACCACGAAGAGGAATCCGAGGAGGAGGAGGAGGAGGAAGAAGAGCAGGTATGTAATCGCACCGCAGCTGACATTCAGTGATGTTTAATCCTATTATATTAACTGTTTTAACCACTTTAGGATTATGAGGATGAGGAAGAGGAGGATGAGGAAGATGATGATGATGAGGAGGAGGATGGTGGTATTGGGGAAGAGGGAGAAGAGAGCAATGAAGGGAGCAGCAGCAGAGATGGCAATGAGGCCTACGAGGGAGACGACACAGAGGTACACACCAGGGATGAGCACCGATCAGAATTCAGTTGAGAATGTCAATTCCTGAATTTAAATTGAGTAGTGCATGTTAAGTAATGTTTTATCTACTGCGCATGTGCGAAGAGCACCGTTAATGGGTTTGCGCTGGGTTTTTTTAGTTTAGTTTTTTTGTCCTATGTAAACTGAGCTGGTGTGGTTGAATGTGATGGTGCAGTAAAGAGTGTTGATTCTAAGAACAGTTGTGGTTATTGAGTCAACATTGGTAGCAGAGGATGGCTGCTGCTGGGAATTACAAAATCCCCCACCGTTTGACGAGAAGACGGCTTACGAAAGTTGGAAAAATGAGGTTGAAAGTTATCTTGTCACTAACAGGCAGAGCAAGGGACAGGGCACTGAAAATGTCCGCTGAGGATTTGAATGCTGACACTGGGATGCAAACACTTATAGCAAAATTGGACTCTGTGTTTTTAAAAGTAGAAAAAGATAGACAGTATGAGGCGTACACTGCGTTTGACCGGATCATTAGAGAAAACAGTGTTTCAATGGTGGAATACATCCTTGAGTTAGAACGTCGATACAACAGGCTATGTAAGCTCAAAATGGAGCTTCCAGATGCCGTACTAGCCTTTAAGCTACTCGATACTGCCGGACTTACGGTTAAAGATAAACAGTTAGCGCTTACAGCTTGCCCCAGCGTTTCTTTCACTGATATGAAATCAGCCTTGAAAATAATTTTTGGCGATAACGTTACTTCACCACGAGAGGGCGGCAGTGCACTGCAGAGCGCAGATATTGACACCGCATACTACACAAGATACTCGGGCAAACGGGGAAATAAGTCAAACACCCCACACACCAACCCCAAACTGTGGCTCAAGGCACAAACCCCCTTGCTATATATGGGAGAAGAACGAAATATGTAATTTGCCAAAGCACGTTTCACTGGGCAAAGGACTGTCCAAACAAAAAGGAACATGTAAGACTGACAAAAGATGAAGGACTAAAAGATGATGTTGAAGAATGTAACATCACTTTGTTTTCAAATGAATCTTTGTCTAATACAGAAATCTTCATGGTGGAGGCTTTAGGATCAGCTGTGATTGACACAGCCTGTACAAGAACTGTGTGTGGGGAAACATGGCTTGAGGATTACACAAGTGGGCTACCACAGAGTGAGTTACTGAAAATAGATGACAAAGTGCAAGACCTTTCACAATTAGTGATGGCAAAGTTGTTCACTCCACAAGGAAAGTTACCATTCCAGCAAGAATAGGACATACCAGGTGCAAAATAGAGACAGAAGTTGTTCCTGCAGATATACCAATGCTTTTAAGCAAGGCTTCATTGAAAAGAGCAAGTGCAGTTCTGGACGTTGCACATGATAAAGCAACAATGTTTAAACAACCTGTTAAACTTGAATTAACCTCTTCAGGACATTATTGTGTGAACTTGAGAGATGACAGTCATCTAGATGAAAAGGAGACAAGTGAGAGCAAGACACAAAATTAAAATGAAATTCTTGCTGTGACAGAAAACATGACAATAAAAGAAAAGGAGAGAGTCCTATCGTAAACTACACAGACAGTTTGGACATGCTTCAGCTGATAGACTGCAAAAATTACTGGCCTGCTCAGGTAATCACGATGATGAAAGCAACCCAATTCTCAAGAACATTGTTAAAAACTGTGATACATGTAGCAGATACAGCAAGCCAAAACATAAGCCTGTAGTGGGTTTGCCCATAGCATCAGCCTATAATGAGATTGTGGCTGTGGACTTACATGAGCTTAAGCCGGGAGTATGGTATTTGCATGCTATTGACCACTTCACACGCTCCAGTGCAGGGAGTATTGTCAAGTTTCAAGTTTAATTTATTTCTAAAGCACATTTAAAAACGACAGTAGTTGACCAAAGTGCTGTACATAAGGGTCATAAAACAAACAACAATAATAATGAGGTACTGTACATAGTATTGTACATTACAGAAATGTAAAGTAAAAAGTGCAATAGTAAAGACAAAGAGAAGAAAAAACAACAACACAGCTCTCAAACTGAATTAAATGCCAAAGAATAAAAATGTGTTTTAAGACTAGTTTTAAAAGCAGACAAAGTTGGAGCCATCCTCACAGACAGTGGTAATAAATTCCAGAGTTTAGGGGCAGCTACGGCAAAAGCCCGATCTCCCCTGTGCTTTAGTCTTAATCTAGGGATGGCAAGCAACATAAGGTCAGCAGACCTCAAGGACCTGGATGGAACGTGCAGTTGTATAAGATCAGAAAGGTAGGTTGGGGCTACGCCATTTAAGGATTTATAAGCAAGCACTAGAACCTTAAGAACAATTCTAAAACGGACCGGAAGCCAATGTAGGGAAGCCAATATAGGGGAAATATGTTCCCGTTTACGCGTTCGAGTTAAAAGTCGAGCTGCAGCATTCTGCACTAACTGCAAGCGTGAGAGAGAGGTCTGGTTGAGACCAACATAGAGGGCATTACAATAATCTAAACAAGATTAAATAAAAACATGTATAAGCCTTTCAGCATCATTAAAAGACAAAAAAGTCTTAACTTTAGATAAAAGCCTTAACTGATAAAAACTTGACTTTACTACATTGTTTAACTGTTTGTCAAGTTTAAAATCCATATCCATTATTACAGTGGTTTTAACATGGGGAAGCAAAGGGCCCAGATCAATGTTAGAGGCTTTATTAGTACAGTTTGGACCAAATATCATAATTTCAGTCTTGCTCTCATTAAAAATGTAGGGCCATCCAATCTTTAATGTCTCTGAGGCAGTCAAACAGAAGTTTTAGAGTACTGGCATGTTTCCGTTTCAATGGCAGATAAATTTGTGTGTCTTGCATAACAGTGAAACTAAATGTTATATTTCCTGAGAATGGACCCTAATGGGAGCATATACAGGGCAAACAGCATTGGGCCAAGAATTGAGCCTTGAGGGACTCCAAATGGAAGGGGTGCTGATGAAGAAACAGTCACCAAGGCAGACAGAATAAGTCCTGTCTGTTAGATAGGACCTGAACCACTCCAGAGCAGTACCCTTAATACTGACAACATGTTCCAACCGGGAAAGTAGGATATTCTGATCAATGGTATCAAATGCAGAAGTCAGATCTAAAAGCATAAGAATGGCTGAATGTCCTGAGTCAGTGACCAATAAAAGGTCATTAAAAACCTTTAAGAGTACCGTTTCTGTGCTATGAAGAGCTTTGAAACCCGAATGATATACTTCTAAAACTCTGTTCGTATCGAAGAAAGATTGCAACTGTATACAGACAACTTTCTCTGATATTTTACCAAAAAAAGGAGAGTTTAGAGGTCTATAATTAGAGAGAACCATAGTGTCCAGGTTAGATTTTTTTTTTATCAGAGGTTGAACCACAGCATGTTTAAAATCTAAAGGAACAACACCTAAGTTTAAACTGCTATTAATAATTTCTTGAACTACAGGCCCAGATGTGTCAAAAATCTCCTTTAAAAAACGAGGAGGAACTACATCTGTGGGACAAGTAGAGGGTTTCATCTGATTAATAACATCTTTCAAAAAAGAAAGAGAGAGCGGCTCAAACTGGTCAAAAACGGCAGAGCAAGTGGCCGGGATAGAGGGGTCCGCAGAAGGAGGTATAATGTGCGTTCTAATAATTGCTACCTCCTCCACAAAGAATTGTAGAAACCTCTTGCAGGTATCAGAAGACACATCAGAAAAATTAGGCTGAGAGGCATTTAGCACTGCACTAATTGTACTAAAGAGTGCTTTAGGTTTATGAGAATTTTTAAGAATAACATTTGACAAATATTTTGTTTTTTCTGCTTTAACAGTTGTTTGGTATCTGTACCAAGTCTCCTTTTAAGATGTCAAAAGACACCTGCAGCTTTTCTTTCTTCCACTGACGTTCAGCTCTCCTGCACTCACGTCTGACACCGCGAGTGATATCATTCAACCAGGGCTCTGGTTTTGGCTTAGGATGCATAATTTTAAAAGGTGCAACAATATCCAAAGCACTTTGACGGGAGGAATTAAACCGTGAGGTTAGCTCCTCGGTATTAAAATACGAGGGAGATGTAAAATAAGTTTCAGAAAAAATTTGAAAAGCAGCAGAGAAGTGAACAGCAGTGGACGAGTTAAATATACGACATCGCAGAGCTTGAAGACTCTGTTTAGAATAACAAGGAATAGAGATATCAAAAAGAACAGGCATATGATCAGAAAAAAATACTTAAGAGATTTCAAGGGTAGAAATAGGTAAACCACACGATAAAACAAGATCTAACGTATGACCAATCTCATGCATTGAACCAATCACAGACTGAATCGGGTTAAAAGAATCAATTAAATTTAAAAAGTCTTTAACCAGTGGCTTCGTAGGGCAGCAGATTTGAATTTTAAAATCGTCAATCCTGTCATAGTTTGGCATAATTCTAGACAAAAAGTCGGAGAAGTCATTGATGAAATCCTTGCTGTATTTAGGTGGTTGATATATCACAGCGCAAAGCACCGGCTGGAAACGACCCAGTTCAAAAATATTCAATTCAAAAGTGGAATAATTGTCTGATGACAGTTGGTGACCGTTACAGTTTTCTTTAAAAATAGTCGCAACCCCTCCTCCTCGTCCAGAAGACCTCGGAAAGTTCAAAAATGTACAGTCGATAATTAAAACCTCTGAAAAAGCGCTTAAGTCACTTCCACTAATACAAGTTTCAGTCACACAAAAAATCCAGTGCATGGGAGGTGAAAAAGTCATTTAAAATAAAAGATTTTAAATTCGCAATTATCGCAAAAGATCTCGCGTTTACCAGGGCTATCCTGATAGGAGTTGGGCCTTTAGCCTTAAGGGGTTCCCGGTCCAGCGGCCGAAGGCTTTGGGCGTTCACGCCACCTCTGCAGACGAGGTGAGAAAGGGCGGGCATCTGTCTTTCGTCACCACAAAGAACCCCAAAGAGATAGAGAAGCACTTCATTCACTGCTGGATAAGTGTTCATGGTCCTCCATGCAGACTA